TCTCTCTCTCTCTCTCTCTCTCTCTCTCTCTCTCTCTCTCTCTCTTCCTCTCTCTCTCTTCCTCTCTCTCTCTTATAGGATGAATTCCTGCACTCTGTATCGTGGAGTGAATTTTCGCTCGACAAATGGAGTGACAACCTTCACTCGTATGGAGTGAATTTTCAGTCGTGGAAGAGTGAATGATTCAGAAACAATTCATATATCATTATAATATCGTAAAAATTCTTTACTTTACTTGGAATAAAATATTCACTCTTATGAAAAATGAAATGTCACTCCATTCAGAATGGCAATATTTTCACTTGGATCATTATTTCATCGCTTGGAGTAAATATCCACTCCTTAACAATACAGGTGTGCAGAGTATATTCTGAAGAAGTCCTGAGGACATTTCTTCGTCCTCAGGACGTCCTTAGGATGTCCTCAGGAGATCTTGTGCAGTCTGGGCTCCTTTGGAGTAAAACTTTACTCCAAGAAATTTAGAGAGTAGCATCAATGGTACAATTTCCCACTCAATATAATTGTTACATAACGCGTGTGTTATATAATAGTTACATTGTTGAGTGGGAAATTGTAACATTGATGTTACATTACTGTTATGTGGTATTTACCGGTAAGTATGAAATACATGTAGAAAATATAATAATATAAAAATATGAACTAATAAGGAATATAAGATATTTATATGTAGAAATAAATAAAATATGCACATATTATATTTCATAAGTTTAAATTTACATGGCCAAATATGTTTTACTTGATCAATGCATCGTGATGCAATTCTATTGCACATTCTGTTGTTCTTACCGATTGCATTGCTTCTTATTGCAAGTAATATCCGATATTGGCGTAATGTCAGTAAATATGTGCAAGGTTCTCGTTTGATTGGAGTTGATAAAAGCAGTTACGTTTTCCTTCCCTACGATTTTATTTCCGAACCAGTCGAGCACTATATTTTTCGCAAGGTGATTCTCAAAACCCGGAAAAATACCATCGACCAAAGCGAAATAATATTCTGCAAATGAAATCGCTTGGGCACGTTCGTCGATCATTTTTGCCCTTACAAAATGTCAGGAATATATCAGAAATATAATATTGATTCAATATTCCTAATAATGTTTGCTTATTTTTCGATATAAGTTATACGCTTTATTAATGTAAAAGAAGAATGTAAAATCGTTATTTCGTAATTGAAGAATTATTATCTTCTTTTCATTACTTCACTTGCACTTATACAATAACACAAGCTGTTTTCTCACACAAATATATAGATAAGAATATTATCAATACGTGAATATATCGTATTATATTTATGAAAATGAACTTTCAATTTAAAGAACTTGGTTTCGTTTGTTCAAAATCAGCTAACAAGATTCTAGATTTATTTTGACACTAAGAAATTTTCAAATGAGCACACGGTATGGTTTATAAAGTATATAATTTTACAGAATACGTTGTATATTGTTTATATATTATTACCTTGTTTATAGGCTCAAACATTCAATATTTATACGAAACGTTAAAGTTTTCCGTCCTTTTCCAATAAATTTAGTTTTTCAATATTACTTGTGTATATAAACTTGTATATATATAATTCAATGTCAAGTTAGACGCACAAAAAAATTGTCATTTCTCAATATAATAAAAGTCTATCAAACCTACTATTTAGTCATTGTGTTTAGAGTTACAAGATTGCCTAATCGTGTTATAAGTCATGAAAAATAAAATCTACTTGATGAAATTGGAGAACATATTTATTAAAAATAAATATCTCGATAATAATCTTGAAAATTTTCTTGAAAACGATCTTAAGGTGAATTCGAGATAATTTTAAATTTAAAATCGAGCTATAAATCAACAATTTTTTCAATATATTAGATTTTGTATAATTTCTGTCGTATGACGTGTACTTATCTTCGAAGCGTGATATATTATTACTGAATTTTCTTTTGAACTACGCCGCTAATTTGGTTGCATCTCTACAAGTTGTAGATAGTAATAAACAATATGTTGTTAATTAAATAAATTCCTTTTCAAAGATATCAATTTTACAAAATTTAAAAATACGATTTAAAAATACAACATAAATTATATATACAATAATATATGTAGAAGTAAAACATATAATATAAAGCAATTTAAATATTAAATAAATAAAGTAAACAAAATAATTTATTCTCTTTTCAAATAAAATAAACTTAAAATGTGCATTACACACATATTTATAATCATATATAATAAATACTATATTGGTTTTTTAAAATAATCTTTATTTTTGTTAGTTATAATTTCGTTTATAAAAACTTCTAATTCATATGATACTATTTTTAAAGTTTGGACTTTACAATATCTTACATTAAAATACTCAAAACATACATTATTTATAAATTTTTTTTATTATTAGTTATTAAATTTTTTTATAAAAAAATCCATTTTGTAAAAGAAATTAAATGATATTAGTAATTTTTTGTGTTGAATTGAAAGTTCTAGTATGAATTTTTTTTATATATTAGAGAATTATTATCTTCTTTTCATTATTTCACCCACGCTTATACAATAACATAGTTGTTTTCTTACACAAATATATAGATAAGAATTATCTATATATTTATCAACACATATATATCGACAGATATTATCAACACATGAATATATTGTATTAGCACAAGAGATTGTGCTTTGCAATACTTTTTCTAGTTCTATAGATGTTGCAGATAATAACATAGCAGATGGTGACAATAAATTCTTTATAAGATCTGAAGCAGTCATTTTATTTTGAATATTTCAAAATAAAAGACATTTATATATTTTTAAATTATTAAGTCTTTTATAAAAATAGATAAGCATGTTTTTTTGTTTTAAAATTCTTATAAAAATAACTTCTTTATCTTTCAATATATATTTAAACATTGTATATGTTTTTCCGTACAGTCTATAAAAACACATATATCTTTATCAAGAATGATAAAGATAGGTTTCTTATGAGGGGAGAGGCTAGATAATTCTTACACTAACTTTCAGATTATTTTCTGCTGTATATTTATATTTATTACTGCTCCATCAAGAATTAAAAAACAAATAATGATAAAAAGCGATTTTCATATACAGATATTAAATTTTATTTAAGAATATTTATTTTTTTAATAATTTTTACACAATAATACAAAATAGTTGTTTTTAAAGCTGTTAACTAAACAATTTTAGTAGCTGCTTTGCTGTTGTCTCTTGTCTTTTCTGTACACCCATGATACTCTTTCATGATCATTATATTATTTTCAAGTACATTACTATTATATATTACATTCATTCATTTCAAACTTAAACAAAGGAATATTTTGATATTTTTCCTATCACATACATACACAATATATATACAAGAGTGCAAAGTGTGTACAAGAGTGTTTCCTTACATTGCCTTTGTTATATATAAAATCCTAAATCATCTATTTTGCTATACATCCGTTAACTCATATTCAATTCATTCTTTGACTAGTATTTAATCAACTTGAAATCAACAAGTATTTTTGCTCCTGAATTGAATTTTTCTGTCATTCTTTTTGTATTATTAATTACAGCTTATATTGCAGAACTGAAGCCAATTTTAAAAAACTATTATCTTATTATTAGTGAATAAGGTGTGAACTTAAAAATAAAATTATCGAAAAAAATGATATCTTATCAAGTATATATAGTCAAGTATATATACATATAAAGTATATATATTTATAAGTATATATCTTATTAAGTATATATAGTAGTATTATTATCAAGTATATATAGTATACAGCAAACTTGTAAAAGATATTATAACAAATTCTTTTAAAAAATGAAATAAATTAAAGTGCTAATGCTTATACACTAATCCTGGAAATTCTTATTATTTTTAAGTAAGGAATATTTAAATTTTAACACACACACACACACACACACACACACATATATATATATATATATATATATATATATATATATATATATATTCAATATATGTACACAGGATGTCTGACAATAAGATATAAAACTTGTGTAGGAATATAAATTAGGTCAAACTGAACAAAAAAATCTTACAATTTTACAAATAAACATATAAATTACAAACATGTAGATTTTTCACTGAATTGCTTGTAATTACGAGAAAAAGTTCTCTCTCTCTCATCATCCGTTTTTTTGAAAATAAAACCGAGAGATTATTTATAGATTATTAAGTTATTAATCCATTCTACGGGGCGACTCGAAACTTTTTGTTCTTGAAATATCATATTCTTGAATAAAAGTGAAATTTGAGACAATTTTTCCTTCTGTAAAATGTTATTTATCCAATACTTAGTGTTTAAGTTATAAAAATAAATAGTTTGTCTATTACGAATTGAGCATAGGAAGACAGAGGCAACACAATTCACAGTTAGGTGTCAGCAAGCACCAGCGTAGGACGCCTTGGGCAATTAGATGTATGACAATAGTTATATTCATTTTTATAATTTTTGTCAATAATCGTGCGCAATAGCAAATAAAATGTTTTAAATTAGTAAGATGTGATTATAATTCGTTGGTTTTCTTAATTGTAAAAACATCTTATGCTTTTCAAACTATGACTATTAACACTCCGCCTCTCGTTCGTATTTTTAAAGGTTATTTTCCAGTTAGCTAAAACGTAATCGAATATTTCACTCTCAAATATTATATTATAATTGTATTCTACTAATTTAAAGCACGTTATTTCCTGTTACATATTAACGAAAATTATAAAAGTAATGTGTATAATATGTATAAACACTATCACATGTATCAATTAGCTGTAGCACCAGACATCCCACTTGAGTGCTTGTATCTATCGATAAGTTGCGTCGCTTCTGCTTACTTCCTGTATCCGAATCGTAACAAGCAAACTATTTATTTTATTAATTCAAAAACTAAGTTTCGGATAACATTTTACAAAAGGAAAAATTGTCTCAGAATTCCAGAAGAATATATATGGCATTTCAAGAACAGGAAATTGTTTTGAATCACCCTATATAATATCGCTCTGAAAACAAAAGAATTGTGATACTCCGTGGCTTATTGAACACCAAGCCAAAAATTATAACGATATACAATTGTGTAGCATAAATATCCTCATTGATTGCTTCTCTTCTGGATTGGTACTATGTCCTTCATGGATTCGTTTTCAATGTTTTATGAGCATTTCACTTCACTTTTTCCGATCTTTAGTAAAGGAAAGATTGCAAACTGTCGGAAATCAGACCAAACAAATTAGCATTGTCGATAATTTTGACCGAAACGCAGTACGTACTTCATATAATTAACTTTTATTAAAGTTAAATATGTTTTATATAATTAACTTTTGACTTGAATATAAGCTTTAATTTTAACTTAATTTTTAATTTAGTTTTTGTTTATGCAACTTTCAACGTAACTAAGTTTATTTAATATGGCATTAGCTATAAACTTAACTTAGTTAAAAAATAATTAACTTACCCTGTATACACATATGACATAGTAGTGAATGTGTTAGTGAATTGTCATATATAAACAAATTTCTTGTATATTTGTGGATTTTTCATCTCATAATTTTGTATTTGTTTACTGACAATGTCACAATTCTGTTTCAAATAATATGCAGCTGATACTGTCTATTTTTTTAACAGTATTTTTAATATTACAAGAAAAATATATGTCGTGAGTTATTTTTTTTCAGATATATATTCATATAGAACTTGTAGTAATTTCTTTTGTGGACTCTGTAACATAAATAGACAAGCTTTTTTTAAGTTATTTCTTAATAACATTTCCTTATATTTTGTAAATTAAATCAGACTCTATAAACAATTACAAATTATAGATAATATAGGTTTTTCACAAAATACATGTTAAACTAAAGTGTTAAACCTAGATATAGATGCAAGATAAAATGAAATTAGTTATAATTGCTGAAATAAAAAATCTAACTAGTTACAGAAAAAGTATCTAAATATTTTAATTAGATAAATGTATCTACTGTAATTAGATAAATATATCTACTGTAATTAAATAAATGTATCTAGATATATATAATCTAGATACATTACAACACTGCAATTGTCATATGTTGCAATTATAATTAATAGAAGGAATCTGTAATCAATTATAATGTGGTCAAATGTTATTGTTCATATAGTTCTTTTACCTATGAAGCAATCCCTGTCATTACTACAAATAAGTCCTTTCTCTTTGAAATGATCAAATATCACTTGTAATCTGGCTACTTTGTTACTTAAACGATTATTTTCACTTTTTAAATATTTTAATTTCTTTCTTGTTTCTGTCAAATATCTATGGAACATAATCCAACATTGATATGAATTAAAATCTTCAGGACGTAGATCTCCAATATATCTTGGAGTGTTGCAACGTCTTTTTCCTACTAGAGGATTGTTTGTTTTACTGAAAGTAAAAACAGTCAAACTATTTTATCCTTCAATAATATTATTATAAAAGTATTATTTAAAACACACACATACACACACACACACACACACACACACACACACA